CTCTCTCTCTCTCTCTCTCTCTCTCTCTCTCTCTCTCTCTCTCTCTCTCTCTCTCTCTCTCTCTCTCTCTCTCTCTGTGTGTCTGTCTGTGTCTCTCTCTCTGTCTCTCTCTGTGCCTGCATGTCTCTCTTTCTATCATTCTGTCTGTCTGTCTGTCTGTCTGTCACTGTCTGTCTCCTTGCCTCCGTGTCTCTCTCGCTCTCTCTCCCCACACACACCCCACCTGTCCCTCCCTCCGTCGCCCCCCATGCCCCCCGTTCTTCTTCTCTTCTTCATCATTGTCGTTATTGTCCCAGTATGTCTTTTTTGCTTTTTTTTGGGTGGAGGTTCTCCAGCATGGCCAGAGGAGCCCAAATCCGCGCTCCTTCCTTTTTTCGAGTGTTGGCTGTCTTGGGGGGTCAGGGGTGGGGGCGGGAGGGGGGGAAGAGGGGGGTATGGATTACTATGGACTGGTTTTTAAGGGGCTCTAAAGGGTTTTAAAAAGGGGTGTCTTATCCTGGTTCTCTGTGTGACCCTCAGCCAAAAGTCATTTGTATGGCAATTCCACACGGGTTTTTTTTTTGCTGGATTTTCTTTAATTGTTTTTTTTTTTGGTGTGTGTACGTGTTTTGGCGTTGGGCCTGCCCGGAACCATCTGTGTCTTTGTCTGTTTGTCGGTCACACTGTCTGTCAATCTGTGTCCGACAGTCTGCCGGACTGCCAGGGAGTGGCGTTCATGCCCGCCCAGGCACCCGGGCATGTATCCGAGCGCAAGTTGGCTGCCCGGGCGCCCGGACTAACAGCCTAGCTAATAATGTCATTAGTACGGTTACACTGATAGTCTGCGATAGAAGGTTTGATGCGTCTGAGTCTGTCTTGTAGGATCAGCCGCTTTTCGGTTCTGGTTGGATGCTGCCGCGGAGTCGTGAGCGCCATGGCGCCCCGTTCGCCGACTGCCAACTCTTTGTAGCCAAGGTTTTTTTTTTTTTTTTTTTTTTTTCAGCATCATTGTAGCCAATTATATCATTTCCTGCGCACATCCATTTCATTGATGTCAATAGCAAATACTAACACGCCAACGAAAGTTAGGGAATCCCATAATAATAATAATAATAAGCCTGTGTGTGACTCGAAAAAAAAGGAGAAAAAAGGTGTGTGAGTGTGACTGATCGATCGATCCATGCCACACTACAGAAATGACTGCTGTAACTCCAGAGCTGAACAGGATTGCGATCAAAGTGAGAATGCACGAGTATTGGCAATCAAAATTCAAATGAGGTCCTCGAGGACATCCGTTAAAATTGGAACGGTACAGAGAAAGAAGATTTTAGCTTAGCAAGGCCCGCGCGCAAGGATAGACGCGCAAAAAACAATTGAGAAATGGTCTAAAAATTTGGCAAAAAAATAAAAAAAAGAAAAGTATCGGCAATCGGAACCTGGACAAGTCTCTGCAACCAAAAGCAAAATGTCTCTGCAACCAAAAGCTAAATGTCTCTGCAACCAAAAGCAAAATGTCTCTGCAACCAAAAGCAAAATGAGTTATCTGCAATCAAATTGAGGGCATATCTCACACGACGACTGTTTTAAAGTTTTGTTTTTTACTAAGCTGTGGGCGTGATTGCAGTTAGATTCATCCAGGTGTGGCTGTAATTGCAGTCAGATACATTTGGGAAAGTGCCATTGTTTTCAAACGAACATAACACACAATTCAACGCATATGTGTTGTAAACGAATACAACGCATATGTGTTGTAAAGGAATACAACGCATATGTGTTGTAAACGAATACAACGCATATGTGTTGTAAACGAAT